TGAGATTCAGAGCGGAAATGATATCGCAAATACCGGTGAATCAAGATAGACAGTTCATTATAAGAGTTTTTCTCATGGACGACACAGTTTCTATTTTTGAGCTGGCCAAGAGAAATTCAGGTAAGTACCCTTTGTCGCGAAATAGTAACTTCATCAAGGTTACTATATTTTAAAAATTATTCGAGACGTTTGTGTGCTACGGTTCGATCGAAATTTACGAAAACAAATCGTTCGGAAGAATGATTTTTTTTTATGACTTTGCTTATTCTTGTTTCAAATTCAAAGATGTGCGAAACTCATGTTGCGTTATACGTATACTTATGATTCATTTGATGTCTAGAATGACTATCATTAATATTTATATTAAATAACGAAAACTGTTATGATTTTGTAAAAAGAAATCGTGCAATAATAAAGTTCGAAATCTCTACTTTCGAAATGCATTGTTCATTTCATGTTAAAATGTTTTCACACTAGGTTTAACAGATGACAAGATGAAGATACTTTCTTTTTAGTCCTCTTTAGTTTTCGTTTAGTATGTTTCTCATATTTGTTTCCCCCCCCCCCCCATTGATAAATTCAATAAATTGAATTCGAAGTTCAAAAAATCGTACAGCAAATTTTGTGGGGGGTCAAATCTTCAGATTCAGTCGCTGAAAAAAAACTTTTTCAGTATTTCCACATGCTGTGACAATTTATGACATTTTTGAGATGGAAAGTACCTTTGTAAAAATATTTTATAATAAAATAAATATCGCAAGTTTCGAAAGTACACCGAGTTTATTTTACACTTTTTACAAAATTACGAATCTTTTTATAAAATTGTAACAATCTCTCGATATTTAATGTCCAAACAATGGCAAAGTCACTGCGAATACTGTTTATACAATTTAGACAATTTAAAGCGTTCAAGGACGTCAGTTTTTACAGCTCAATTTTCAATCCAAAATCCAAGAACCACGACTCAAGTTTTCCAGAACTGCACTTATTTTAACAACACGATCCACAAGTATCTGACTATTAGCCATTATAATCTAATTATTAGCATTCGTTACCTACATTCAAAGTCTCGAAATCGTTCCCTTATTGATTCTACCCATATTTTCGCGTTATTTACAGGTTTCGTACGCTGCCTTTTCCAGAAGAGAATGCCGATGATGCTGCCTAATCAAGAGATATTTGTAAGCAAGAAACCGGACTATTACAAACCGGAGGATTTCTATATCGGTTCACGTCTCAGCTTGAACGGTTTTATCTTCGAAATTACCTCCGCCGACGTTTATGCTCTTCGTTACATGGAGTTACATTGCGATAAGGTTCGATGAATTTACACACGGCACTTCCCCGTGTTTTCAGGTTTAAAACAGTCGATTAGCGTTCCCATACGAATTCGACGTCGATAAGCCGTTGAAATTTCGAATTTTTTTTTTTTTTTTTTTTCAGTTTGCCAAAGCTAACGTGAAGTTAATCATGGAAAAACTACGGCGAGCATTGAAACCGGTTTACAAGGAATTCGTACAGCTCTGCACGTCGGCGAAATCAATCGACGACGATCGTCAAGTTCTGCCGTATGAAAAACTCAGGTATTTCGTCACTTTTGCTCGATTCAATTCAGTGCAGTGGTGACTGCGACGAGTTCCTCGCTGATTGGAATTAGAAGAGAAATGTTAGAAGAAGAGAATCGTGCTCTTTTTGTAAAAATGTCATGTGCATGAAAAATATTTTTTTCAAATGGAAATCTTTTTTAAATTCTCTGAATTGACGAATTCAAAAGACTAGTTTAACTTCAATTTTTTTAGAACTCAACTTCCAATGCAATAAATTTCAATTTCTATAAAAAATTAAGATTAAAGTAGAGAATATGAACTCCACTTGCAGATTTTGGTCGATAATTTCTAAGGAAGCATATTATTGATTTTTCATCGAGACCACTTTTTCTAATGGAATCTTTCAATATTTCTTTTTGCATTCGAATAAAACGATAAATTCTGAATGAAAGAGTATTAGGATATATAAAATTATTTACTGAGATTTTTATCTTTTATTAGAACTTAGACGTCACTTTAATATTTAATATTAGTAGTGTATCTCAGTTGTATAAAGTAAAAATGATATCGCGAAAAATGCTACAGTTTAATAATGAAAAATATAATAATAATCGTGGTTTCCTTTTTAGTAGGAAATATTATATTCTTCTTCAAAATTAGATAAAAGCTTATATCAAGAGGACTATTGAAAAATAATGTTACTTCAAAAACTCTGTTCTTATCCTAATAGAGAACATTGCGGAATAATTATCGATATATAATATTCATATTTCATTCATGTTGAAAGAGCTTCAATATTAATTTCAGGGAAATTTTGTTCAAGTATATGGAAGATAAAATAACGGATCACGAAATAATCACAGTCATTCGACACTATTCGTCTCATGAGAAAAAAGAATTTCGCACTCGAGAATACGTCAGGTAGGCAGTAATTTTTTTTTTTTGGTAAAAAGAATATTGTAAAATTGAACATTATAAAGATAATATTTATTTACTAATGAAATTTAGATGAAAAGGACATGGTAAAATTTATTAAAAGATAATATTTATTCGCTTTCCAGGCAATTAATGCATACGGAATTATTGCGAAGCTTGTGGAACGATCTCGATCGTTTAGAGGAGGATCTACATCATTACGATAGAGGAAGAACAGGATTTTTACCACGCAGTACATTGTACACTGTGCTTCGTGGTGCTAGAATTCCAGTTGACGTGGAACTTTTAAATTCCATGCTTGATCAGTACGTATACATATTAATAGACAATTTAATATTACTAAATCATAATCACACGAGACATTTATTAAAGTTGTCATACCAATTATTCTCTTTCTTTTGTGGTAAAAAAAAAAAAGAAAGTAGAAAAATTCTTAATTTATTAAGCAGTAATTCGAACACTTTAATTTATCGAGCAATAATTTGAAACACTGATAATTTATAACATTACTTACCGATAATAATATAGTGTTCATAAGAACGAAGAGGAGAAATTGGATTATAACGACATGCTGAGATTTATGAACATGAAAGTAGATCCTCTTCCTTTCGCGCCACCGATAAACATCAAGGTAATATTTATCGTTATCATTTTATCTGTGCCTATATATTATTTTCTGTATATTACATTTCAGTACTATATTTTCCCAATATTGTTTTGTAAAATAACGTAAGTAAATTATTTTCCATAAATTTAATGTAATTTAATATTTTTATTTTTGATATTTTATGTGTATTACTTTGTAATGTTACAAATTCTTCATGTCTCTCTCTTTATTCTTTTATATTTTTACTCCTTCCTTTTTTTATCATGAAAGATGACAGAACTTTTTTGCCTTTTTTCAATGCTATGAATTAACTGTGAACTGTGTTTCAGACGGCACTTTGGTGGGCATCAGAAAAAGATCCGGACTGTGGTGCTGGTATAATTTGGTGTGATTTCATAAAAGATTTAGGCATCGTCGACGAAGAAATGGATTCAGATGAAAAATCACCAGAGCAGCAAGCTGCAAAACAAGCTATTGAATATTCATAGAACTTTTACAGAATTTTAATTATAATCGGCGACCCCACATATTTAAAAACTGCACAATCTTTCGCATATAACATATTTTTTTATTATCTTATGTGATTATATGATATAATACATTCATTATATTGTGTAATATATGCAATAGCGCTTATGGTTATTCGAACGATACAGTTTCATTTCATTACAGTTAGAAAAATCATAAAATTTAACAAAAAATTAACAATCATGAAATTAACAAAATTAATAAAGGTTTTTTTTGCTGTTATTAGAGCATAGTCGCCATCATTTGCCAATTCAATATTTTTATATGTATAATTAAAAAATTGAACTCAAATAGAAATTTGTTGCAATTAATAAATATTGCAATTATATATTTTTGTTGACACTGTATGTTATTCTGTGCATTATTAGATTTTTAAATGTCTCATAATTGATTAAAAATCCATGATATTTCAAAGGAACAAATTTCTAAAAATTTCTTCCAAACTCAAACAGAAAAATAAAAGACTAATTATTTATTAAACACTATTTATAATGTGATAGAAAGAACAGATTCTGGAGAGCAATAGCCAGATATTATTTTTGTTACTTTTTATTCTTGGTTTTGAAAATTCTGCTTCAGACGTTCACATTTTTTGAAAATTTTATTTCGTATATTTTATACAGATACAGAATTACTAAATTATAATAAATATTTTAATATTTTAAACTCAAGTAAATAATTACAAATAATAATAATCGTTTTCTTTTTACGTGTAAAATTATTCAAGTTAATTAAATTGATTATTATTAATCGTCTGTCGATTTTTAAATTCATTCGAGTAATTATAACTGGTATTGTATATAATATTATACGTATAATATTTATCATCAACTTTTACAAAGAATACACATAATATTTTATACTCACCTCAAATATCACAATTTTCAACCGTTTAGAGTGAATTTTGAATAAAAGTGTGCTTCTCTGTGTCAAGTAATATTTATTGTAGAATATAATTTTTAATACAAACTACGTCGAATTCAGCGAATTATTTACATTGCGACTAACCAACGTCTATGTCTAACATGCCGCTAACCGTGTTGTCCATCTTCCAGAATTTCTACTTCAATATGAATCAAACGTTTAATATTTAATCACTTTGTCACGAGTGTTCTCATCGTTCGTCGTATATTTTGGAGAATACTGACTGACAACACTGTCCTACACTCGTACCGATGACATAAACTTTAATAATAAATAGTAGACGAGATAAATAATAGTTTCATCGAGTTCCTTCTTAACACGGTGGATCAGAAAAGGGATGTAAATCCGAAAAGCAAAATTTTCAATCCAAATCTGCAACTTTGAGATTAAGAGATTATTTTGAATGGTTGAAGTTGAAAATCAAGGTCATTTTTCATGAACATGAAAATGAACAGTTTCTCAAAATAAGTAAAACAGTTTTTAAAACGCGTATTAATAGTGTTTTTTTGCCATTGTGTTTGTCCTATTTATTATTTATCAATGTATATACATTCAAAACCCAAAAATGCGAATGCAAAATGTGAAAAAATGAACTCGTGCTTGATTTGTTGATTGGAAAATGAAAGTTAAACGAACAATTTTGCCTCGCAGTTCAGTATAGAAGAAATGTCTCCTTGCGTTTGGTCCAAATTAGATGAACGAGAGTTAATAAGGAAAACTGTTTGTTATACGATAGAATATCCTATTGCCATTTTCAAAAGAACTCGTTTTTGCGTCAATATTTCTTCGATCCACTGTACTAAATATTTCCTAATCTTCTAACATTCTCGTCATTGATAATTCGTTTAACCCTGCTGTCCTCTCTTCCATCACGTTCAATTTCTCTCTCTCTCTCTCTCTCTCTCTTGCAATGCTGTATTTCTAAAAACCATGGAATATACAAAAAGTTTGTGAAATTATATCGAAATTATATAACGATATATCGATATAGTTCTGGTCCAGAAATTATATATATTTCGGGAGGAGAGACGAATAGCAGGGCTAAGCGATCGATAATAATTATCGGCTTGAATATTTTCCACATTCTCTATAAAATAACTACAAATACAGATTTTCGATCGCGAGATATCTTTCCAATGAATTTTTCCAAACGATCGCGACGACGATTACTTCGATTGCGTCACGAAGATAAGTTCCTCGTGTTTTAAACGTAATGGTTAAGATTATCGTTTAGATAGGGTTTGCCCGTACAACACCGGGTTTTGTAAGACGAATCGGTTGTCGAGCTTGATCAGAATTGGGTTTTTTTTTTTTTTTTTTTTTTTTTTTTTTTTTTTTTTTT